TCTACCTAGAGTCTATGTATTAGAGAAGCATGGGATATTTTGTTTGTCTTCTTCCTCAAATTAACTCTCTTTTCCCCCTTATTTCATACCTTTGTGTACTTCATAGGCTTCATTTTAATTTCGTGTCTCATATGTGTGTGTGTGTGTGTGTGTATGTATATATATGTACACATACATACACACACACCACACCACACTACACCTATATCTTTTTGAGCCTGGGTCTGTCCATGTAGCCCTAGTTCTCTTGAAATGTGTTCTGTAGACCTGGCTGGCCTTAAACTTTTGCCAGTTTTCTACCTCTACCTCTCCAGTGCTGGGATTACAGGCATGTGCTATTGTGCCTGGACGATATATTTATATTTAATTCTAGATTCCTCATAGAAGCAAAAACATTGCATGTCTCTTAGTCTGGCTTATTTCATTTATTATGATCTCTAGTTCATCTATTTTCAAATTATGTAATGTTTCTTCTTTATGGATGAGTAAAACTCAATTGTGCATGTTTGTCACATTTTCTTTATCAATTAACCTTGATTGACATCTTGGTTTCATGTTTTAAAAAATATAAAATGTATTTCTTTTATGTATGTATTTTCCTTCGTGTGTGTGTATACCACATGCATGCAATGCCCACAGAGGCCAGCAGAGGGAAGCAGATCCCTAGAATTAGAGTTAGAAGCAGCTATTAACTTCATGTGGGTAGCGCTGATGTCTCTACAGTCCCTTGATTATATATTTTTGCTATTTGTGAATAGTGCAGCAATAAACATGTATGCATAAGTGTGTCTCTGATACCTGATTTAACTTCCTTCAGGTATTTGCCCATGAAGTCAGTTCTATTTTTAGTTGAAAAAAAAAAGGAATTCATTTATTATTGGTTGAAATTTAAATTAGTACAGGCATTAAGGAGAGCATATAGAATCCTGCCCCCTCCAAAAAAAAAACCCTAAAAATAGAGCTACCATATGATGTAGTGTTCTGGGTTCACATGGAAAGCAAATGAAGTCAACATAGCAAAGTGGTACTTGTATTCCTTTACTTATTGTGACATTTATAGTGTGCATTAGGTAAGGTAGAATCAGCTGAGGTACTTGTCTATAAATGACTGAATAAAAAGGATATTTTAAATATGTAAAATGGAATATGTTCAACCATAAAGAAAATTGAAGTCTTCTTGCAGCAAATTGGATGGAACTAGAAGACATTAAAGATGAGTAAAGGGAGCCAGACATGAAGACTAATATCACATGTAGTTGTTAAAAAGTGTCAGTGGTAATATGGAGTATTAATGTCAATTGAAGAATATATTAGGGGAATACAGGGAGGTAGGACTATTGCAATAGTCAACAATGCAGTGAACAGTGTAAGCTGTATTAAGCTGTTGTAGTAAATGATGACATTGAACCCAGTTAATATTATATATACATATAATGTTAATAAAAGTTAAAGGTTAAAAATAAAATTTAAGACATTTTGGGCAGGGGGTGTAGCTTAGTTAGTAGGGTGCTTACTTAGCAGACACAAAGCTCTGATTCAAATCCCAGAGTCACTTAAAATTGAACAATATGGCATATACCTGTAATCCTAGCATTTGGGAACTAGAGACAGGTGAATCAGCAGTTTAAGGTCATTTTCAGCTACATAGCAAGTTTGAAGCCAGTCTGGGCTACATGAGTGTCTGTGAGTAGAATACAGTCATGTTCCATGTAATGTTTTAGTTAGCAGTTGACCACATACAATGGTGTGTACCATAGAGCCTACCATGTAAGGTTACATAGATCCTATGGTTATCGTAGATTGCCTTCTATTGCTGTGATAAAACACCATGACCAAAAAAAAAAACCTTCTGAGGAAAGAGTTTGTTAGCTTACAGTTTATATAGTCCACATTGGGGGAAAATTAGAGTAGGAACTGAAGCAGAGGCCATGGAGGAAAATGACCTACCAGTTTGTTTCCCATGGCTTTCTTAGCCTGCTTTCTTATACAACCCAGGGATGGCTCTGCCCATAGTGTGATGGGCTTTCCCATATCAATCATTAATCAAGAAAATACCCTATAGACTTACAGACAATCTAACAGAGACATTTTCTTTAAAAACTAATTTATTTAAATTATTTATGTATGTAACTGTTCTGCTAGTATGTATATCTGCACAATGCTCATAGAGTGGTTGTGGAGGCCTGAAAAGGTCAGAGTCCCCCAACTGGAGTTACATATGGTTGTGAACTGTCATGTAGGTGATGGAACTCAAACTTGTGTTCTCTGGAAGAACAATCAGTGCTATTTAGCCCTGGAGGTATTTTCTCAATTGAGATTTTTTTCTCTTCCCAGACAACACTAGCATGTATTAAATTGATAAAAAACTAACCAGAAGAAGGATGTTCACACAATAATGAACTCACTGACAATACATTTCTCATAATACATCCCCATGATTGTTATGACTATTGTGTTTCTCAGTGTCATTTGCTGTCTTATTTTGTATAATATTCAATTCAGCAAAATTTTAATGTCATGAAAAGACTTGGTTACTTATTTAGTTTTTGAATGATAATGCTTTTTTTTCCCCAGTAACCCGCTGTATTAAAGGTAGGCATCCAACAGCAATGTTTTCATTGTAAAATCAATCAATCAATCAATCAATCAATCAATCAACCAATCCCCCCCTGTATGTTTGTGTGCATGTCCACTCATATGCACATATTGCATTATAGATGTGGATGTGTGGGTGTGCATGTGTTATGGCACGCTTATGGAGGTCAGGGGACAATTTGCCATAGTTGGTTTTCTCCTTCTACCATTCAGGTCCCAAGAGTGAAGTCATGATATCAGGCTTGGCTATAGTTGCCTTTACCTAGTGAGCCGTTTTATCAGTTCCTATCCACCCTTTTTGAGACAGAGCCTCTCCACTAGTCTGAAACTTGTCAAGTAGGCTAGGCTGGCTGGCAAGTGACCGGCTGGGACAAGTCAACCCTAGGATCTACCTGACTCTGCCTCTGTAACACTGGGGTTACAAATGCATACCACCACACATGACTTTTTAAAACTTGGGTTCTGGGGATGGAACTCAGGTCTTCATATTTGCCAGGCACATACTTTGTTGACAGCTATTTGCTCAGGTATGAAGTTAGTAGTTTTGAAGGCTTGTTTTGGTTCTATCAAGCTGTTTGACTATTGTATAGTAGTAGAGAGGGCAGCTGTAAAGATGGAATAGTCAACAGCAGCCAGTACATGAAAAGTGGATTACAGTACACATTACAGGCCTTCCTAATGAATTTTCCAGGATATATAATGATCAGGTATTCTTGGTAAATTAACATCTATTCTGGTCTGTTTTTCTTTTATCTTTTATCTTTTTTTTTGGGGGGGGGGTTTCGAGACAGGGTTTCTCTGTGTAGCCCTGGCTGTCCTGGAACTCACTCTGTAGACCAGGCTAGCCTCGAACTCTCGAACTCAGAAATCTGCCTGCCTCTGCCTCCCAAGTGCTGGGATTAAAGGCGTGCGCCACCACCACCTGATTTCTGTTCTGTTTTTCTTGACTTTCACTCTAGATCCTACTGCCTTGATCTCTAATTCAAAGATGAGCATATTCTATCTCTATCTATCTATCTATCTATCTATCTATCTATCTACCTACCTACCTACCTACCTACCTACCTATATCCGTTCACATTTTGAGACGATATCTTGCTGTATAGCCCTGGTTGTCGTAGAACTAGCCATACCTGGTTGTCGTAGAACTAGCCATATCAACCATGCTAGCCTCAATCTCACAGAGGTCTTTCTGCCTCTGCTCCCCCTTCCTGAGTGCTGGGATTAAAGGCATGTGCCAGCACACCCTTGCTGCTATTTTTAAAAAACTTTATTTGTTTTATATGTATTTTGCCTGTGTATATGTATGTGTACAGTGCCCAAGTAGGCCAGAAGTGGGTGACAGAACTAATGGAAGTAGTGTTACAGACCCTGTGAGCTGCCCAATGTGGGTGCTGGGAATAGAACCTGGGTCCTTTGCAAGAGTATCTGGTGGTTTTAACAGTTTAGCTATCTCTCTAGCTCTAAAGATTAGTAAGCTTAAGTAAGTTGCCATTCTGAATAAGCCATGCTGTGCTAGCAAGTATGAGTTGTAAGACTAAAATACAGGTAGAAGAATTAAGAAAAATATACGGAAGACGTGAATAAGGAAATACCAACGAGAAGATTATCCATTGGAGAAGTTTGTTTTAAGATTGTTGATATAAATTATCTGGTTACTCGCTTCCTTCCTTCCTTCCTTCCTTCCTTCCTTCCTTCCTTCCTTCCTTCCTTCCTTCTTTCCTTTGTTCATTTTTTTCTGATACAGTGTCTTAGGGTTTTTATTGCTGTTACTAAAAGCACACTTGGGAGCAAAGGGTTAATTTCATTTTACACTGTGTAGTCAGGGACGTCCAGAGCTGATGCAGAAGCCATACAGGATCCTTGCTTGCTGGCTTGCTCCTCATGGTGTACACAGCCTACTTCCTCATGTACCACAGGATCACCTACCCAGGGGTGGTCCCACTCACAATGGGCTAGGCCCTTGAATATAAATTATCTATCAACAAAATGCCCTCCACAATGGCCTACAGGACAATCCTATTGAGGCATCTCTCAATAAAGATTCTTTCTTCCCAAATGACTTTCTCTTGTGTTACATTGATATGAAAACTAGCCAGCACAAACAGTTTCTCTCTATTTAACCCTGCCTGGCCTGGCACTGTCTATGTAGACCAAGCTGGTTCCGAACACAGTTTTCACTTATTTCTACTTCTGTTTCCTGATTGTTGGGAGGTGTTTGCCACCATGCCGGGATGGCTACTCATTTCCATACTTTCTATAGCTTCTTTTTATAGTTCTGTCACCTTGTAAAATGAGAGTCTAAAGGTTTAGACTTGATTTATTATTCCCTTTTGTTTAATATTAGCACTTAGTTTTCATTTGGCCGCTGAATTGAAAAATGAAAAATTCTTCCTTTATTTCAGGGAATGCAGCCCCACCTCCAGGCTTTGTTGTCACTGTATAAGTTCTTCGCTCCTGCTTTGATTTCTGTATCTTTGCCTGTAAGGAAGAAGGTAAGGGATTACTGAGGGAGGAGTCCCTCAGAGATAGAATACATTTTTGTTTATTTTATTGTGTTTGGGAAAGGGTTGTGGTGTGGTAACTCAGGCTGGCCTCTAACGCATCTTCCTTCCTTGGCTTCCCAAATGCTGGGACTACAGGTTTGGACCATAACCTTGGCAAAATGCGTTGTTTTTCATAAAGTTAATTTAAAGATTTGAACTAAAACATTAAATGGATTTATAAGAATATAAATATTTCATAATCAATATGCATCCAGTTAATAATTTTAGACTCAATTGCTCTGATTCATGAGTATGTAATCCTCTTTTCTTTATCTAAATTTATAGATGTTTTTTAATAATTCAAGAAATCTGTGGAGTTCAGCTCTCCTTGCTGTGAAGCTTAGGAACCAAGGAGTTTTTCCGGAACCTCTAAAGCTTCCATTAGGTCCAACTACTGGCCATTCTCTAAAAAGAGTAAGTAATGTAAAGTACCAAAGGACTTGTGGCTTTAAAAATGGTAACCATCTATGGTGGTGATCACAGATATTTAAATAGCTTTTGATAATCTAGTATTCTATGTAAACCACATCCAGACTCCCGTTAAGGAAAACATCTTAAGAGTCTGATTTTACAGATTTATTTACTTTTTATCTATTTTTTTTTAAGATTGTATTTTTCTAAAATGTAGCCTGGCTGGCCTGAAAATTGCTATGTTGACTAAGCTTGGCTTCTGCCTCCTGAATGTTGGGATTAAAAGAGTATACCACCATTTCTGACTTGCTTTTGCCTCTTTTAAATTTTTTTTTTGGTGCATTGATAAATTGTTGTATTATCTTTTCTCCTTTAGAAATGGAATTCTCACTCAGTTATACCAGCACTAAATTCTGCAAACAAAGACTATGGAGAAAAGCAGATGAGTCTGTTTGATTATCTCAGCAGTGATAGGTCACTTCCACTAGAACAGCTTCAACGTTTCCCTCAACTTTTAGAGAACATTCATTGCTTAGAGGTATGTGACTGAACTAGATGCTCATTCGGATTTTCTGTTTGATCTGGAGAGCCTCTTTGTTTCAGTACTTGGGATTAAACTCAGCCTCACACATGCTAGGGAACTGCTCCACACTGAGCCTTATCCCAGGCCCCATACCCTTTATTTTTCTTGTATGTTTCCTATATGGTGTTTTACTTCTTGCTGTAAGGTACATTTCCTATACTAACTGGTGACTTGTTCCATCTTTACAGCTACCTTTTCAGATGAGCTCAGTGCTAAACAGCTCTCTGCTACTTCACTATATTAATTGTGTCAAAGATGAGTCGATCTTACTGAGGCTTTCTTACTGGTTGAGTCAAGCATTACAAGAAGGTAAGGATTGATGCTCTAAAGCATTAGGTAAATTAGAGTCGAAGAAGATAGTAAACAGATTTCGTATTCTAAATTACAAATTCTAGTATTTTATATTTGTATATATTTATAGAAATGCTATGATTACTTCTCTAGTAATCATATATCCTAAACATGAATACTTGTGGTATTATCATTTTAAGAGAATAAAGGAGGAGTGGTGTTAAGCAAACACTACTCTATGAGCATCAGAACTTACCAGATGATTGGTCTTAGTCTCAGAATTCTTTGTATTCCTCGGAATTTGCAAGAATGATTAGATTAAGCCGGGCGGTGGTGGCGCACGTCTTTAATCCCAGCACTTGGGAGACAGAGGCAGGTGGATTTCTGAGTTCGAGGCCAGCCTGGTCTACAGAGTGAGTTCCAGGACAGCCAGGGCTACACAGAAAAACCCTGTCTCGAAAAACCAAAGGAAAAAAAAAGAATGATTAGATTAATGTTAAGCCAACTGAGAGAAAAACAATTTATAAGACAAAATATCACCTTTTTATTGTATAATAGACTTGATTCTTTATGGTGACCAACATGGTCATGTGTACCAAATCAAGTAATTATTTTAATTAGAGAGCTAAAGGTAGTGACAGTAGACAGGCTTTCATGTGCACCCTAGTAAAACCTGACCACCTTCTTGCCATTTTTCTCTTGGAATTTCACTATCACAAATATTTATTTCTTGGATAAGCAATTTTTGACTATTCACATCTTTGCAATCAGTTTTAGTCTCCATGGGTGATTGTTCCTTCAATTTAGAGTCTTTTCTTTACAGGAGATTTGATACAATTAATTCCATTTTTAATTTGTAAGTTCCCACTTATATTGTAGCTTATATTCAACTCACACTATCTATTTTTAACCATGCATTTATAGTCACTTGGGTTTCTGTAACATGAGTTAATATTATTCATTGTAAGTGAACTTTTCCAGTGTTGTTCCTGTAAACTTTCCCCTGTGTTACCATGTTTGCTGACTATCACTTCCAAATCTCTGTTGAAATCTACAGTGTCACTCACCTAGGTTATTCGAATCTTACAACGTTTCAATTTGTCATTTCTTTGTCACTTCAGAGTAGTCATACATATATTCTGTATCATTTTTATTATTGTCTGACCAGATGCTTATATTTATGATTTCTTTTCTAGAATGTGTGTGGTATAATATGAATAATTATGAACAAGAAAAGGAATTTATAAACTTCCTGGACATGGTCATCAATGTGCAGTGCTTCTTACAGGTAAGATTCTATTTGGTTTCTAGTGATTCCATCATTCTTAAAATTTGTTTGGATGTTCATTACAGTATTTTCTTAAGTATCTGACGTTCTTCTGTTTTGAAGATAGAGTTTTATGTATCACAGACATACACCTGATATTTTTACAGTATTGGGGATCAAACTAAGGGCCTTGTGCATACTAAACAACTGCACCATACCATAAGCCCTGGAACCTGGTATCATCAGTTTTTATTTTTATTTACTAATTTTTCTTATTAGTGGCATCTTTTAAAAATAATATTTGCTCAGATTGAAATTTAGAGAGCCAAATTGGACTGATGTTTATTTTTTGTTCTATTATATTTGAAGAAGGAATAAGTTTAAATTTTTAAATATAATGGAAATTTCCATAATTTTAAGAAAACAAATGATTTAATGCATTCAATTAATTGAATTATCCAGGACTATAAATCTTACAGGGTTACTACTGGTGTTCTTTTTGGGGTGGTTGGGGCAAATGCTGGCAATCCAATCAAGGGCCTTGTGCATACTAGGTGAGCCTATATTCTACCAATGCTCCATATCCTCAGCCCATGGCTTGTGTTCTTATTAATTAATTAATCCTTTAACAGGGCCTCATTAGCCCAGGCTGGCCTTGAAGTTAGTAAGTAGCTGAGAATGGTTTTGAACACCTGATCAGATCATCCTACCACCACATCTTGAATTCTGGGACAGGTGTGCATGACCACATCCAGTTTAGGTGGTTCTGGACATTTGGCAAGCACCCCGACTGAGCAGCTCCAGCCCATGACTTACGGTCTAAATAGCTACAAATGTTTTGCAGTGTGACATATGTCCTAGCAGGTGCATTTTTTATCCTGGCTATCTCTGAGTTGCATTTGAATCTGGAACTCATGTATTGACATTGTTTAGAAGGCCTCATGCATCTGAAATAACTATAGCACAAAATAAGATGGTTGTTAGAGACTTTGTGATTCTATACAAGGTTTTATGATCACCATGTATTTCAGGAGGGATTTTACTCCTGTGAGGCATTCTTGTATAAAAGCCTGCCTCTCTGGGATGGCTTCTCTTGTCGGTCACAGTTCCTTCAGCTTCTGGCCTGGATCCCATTCAGTAGCTTCTCTGGTATGTACCATGAAAACTTATCAGGTACTTTTCTTCTGCTGTGATTTAACACCATGACTGAGACAACTTAGAGTTGATTTTTGGTTTACAGTTCCAGAGCATTAGAATCCATGACAGTAGAGCAAAGGCATGGAGGTTGGGCCAGGAGTAGGTCTTACAGCAGAAGGATGAAGCAGAGAGTGGATTAGGAATGGCGCTAGGCTTTGATGCCTTAAAACCCAGTGACATGCTTCCTTCACCAAGCTGAAGATTTCTAAACCTACTTGAATAGTGCCACCATTTGGGGACCAAGCATTCAAACATCAGCTTATGGGGGGACATTTTTATTGAAACCACTACAACGTGAACTTATTTAATTCTATGTAATATGAGAAATTTAAAGAGTTTTGAATATTCTTCTATTTTCCATTTCCTAGAGGTGAAGCCACTTCTTTTTGATCATCTAGCACCTCTCTTCTTTACATCAACCATTTATTTCAAGGTAAAAAACAAAACAAAACAAAACACATCTGTCTCATACTCAGGAAAAACATAACTTCTGTTAACTGGTTAAATGATGTTATATAATTCCTAACTGGAATTCTGGCAGTGACTTTCTATTTTCTTCTCTTTTATAATTCTGTAATAGTTGTGTGTAGGGGTGGAGGGGTGGGGGTATATATGTGTATGTATGTATGTGTGTGTATGCGTGTGTATGCATGTTTGTATGTGTGTGTATATGTGTGTGGTTGTGCACATATACCACAATGCATGTGTCTATAGCATGGAATTTTACCTGCCCTCCTTTCCCTCGGTCCCTCCGTCCGTCCCTCCCTCCCTCCCTCCCTCCCTCCCTCCCTCCCTCCCTCTCTCCCTCTGTCCCTCCCTTCCTTTCTTCTTCTTCTCCTCCTCTTCCTTCTCTTTCTCTTCCTCCTCTGCCTCCCTTTCAGTACAAGGGTTTACTAGGTATTGTAGCTTAGACTTGCCTTGAATTTGTTCCATAGACAAGGCAGTCCTTCTGGCCCTTGCTTTCCCAGAGTTGATAGTACAGGTATGTATCACCATATCTAGCCAGTGAGTTGACTTTGTAACTATACTCTATTATGGAATTTAAAGTTAAAGTGCATAGAACTTTCTGGTTTAAATCTTGGTGACACACTTTTCCTGAACTTTTTACACTAGTAAGCAGCAAATGATATCATGAAAACCATGTCAAATGCATATGAACAGTGAGCAAACCCACTGGGAAATACTTGACTATACTTGGAGTTTTGTATTTATGCTTTTGTGTGCCCGGATTAAATGCATTGTTATTAACTCCCCATCAGCAACAATGCATTAGTGTCACATTAAAGAAGTAACAGCCCTTCTTCCTGGAGTCATTTCACTACTAGCATGGAAGTGATACTTTTCTGAAACTTGTAACAGAGTTTTAGAAGGGATTAAGCCACTGGTTCCAACTGACCCTAATTGACCCAGACAATAAACAGAACTACAAATATTATTGTTTATATCAACTGATATCCATAAGTATTGTGTTCAGTATTTATGGGATATTCATTTTAGAAGGTTGTTTTTAACCTCTATATTTGCTGCTTTAAACAAATAGTACACATGCATTGTTCTGTGTCAGGGGCATGGAAAAATTACATAATTTAAGATGACAGCTATGCGCTAGTTTAGGTTTTAAAAGCTGATTCCATGGGAAATCCAAGGCAAGCAGGGTTGATTGTTACATTGTTCATAAAGGCAGGTTAAGCAAACAGGTCAGATACACAGTAAGCAGGCTTAGATCTCAAGATATAGTATTAACTCTGCCTGTGAAATCCAGTCAAAGTTCTAGTCTCTTAGAATGTAAAGATAGTTTTATCACAATGCATTGCCACAGTTTTGAACATAATACTTATTTTAGTATATTTCATGAATATACTAATTACTCTTTTTTTGAGAGTTTTGGGGAGTTAGGGATGTGAGTTTGAAACAGGGTCTCCCTGGAACTCAGGATAACCTTTAACCTGAATCTGTCTTCTTGCCTTAGTTTTCCAAGCACTAGGATTAGGGATGTGAGCCATGATGCTCTAATTATTTTTCAGAACCGTGGGAGTGCAATAGTGATGAAAGCCAACAAAACTCCATGAGCCACTTGCCTATTGAATACCTGTTTTTCTTTGAAAGCAGTGATGATAGAATACTTCTTTTACAAACGTTTTGCCTCTTACATGACTCAAGGTTGGCTACATTTACAGGAAAAATAGGTTGTTCTGGTTAATATTCCTCATAATTCATTGCATATCACTTTATTGCCTATCACATTAACTTGTATTTACTAATTATATTACTTGTAACTTACTACTATATGAATACTGTTATTCAAATGAAAATACCAGTTATTCCAGCTATTAAATTTTCAGATACTCTACTTTGGAAAAAATTCTTTTTCAGTTCTCTCCTAATCTTCTAGTTGAGTTCTTTTCAAAATTTTCACCCATGCCAGCAGTTTAAAGAGCCGCTTAGCCATGGACGTTCGGGTGAACTGTAGGCAGTTGTTATTTGTGTGGATCAGGGTGGTTGATCAGCAGTTGGTTTTGATTCAACCTACTATGCATGTACCTATTCACTTGTCTATATATCTATGTCTGAGAGTGGAGGAAGGGGGAAAGGAGGAAAAGAAACAGAAAATATGTCAAGCATAGAGAGCAGTTTTTAATTTTCAGGCCCAAAATGAGGCTCAGTGAAGATATTAAGGAATTGTAAATGAGGCCCTGGGAACGCAGGGTTAAAAAGTCTGAGAACTCAGAGATTAGAAATGTTTCTTTTCTAGAGTTACAGAAGATTAATTGTTATAACCAGCAAAAAAGAGACCACAAAGAAAAAAAGTGGAGACCTCTTACTGGTCGAAACTTGAGATGATCTCTGAGAGGACAATAGGGATGGTTTTGTTTCTGAGATAGACTCTTCTGCAGCCCAGACTGGCATCAAACTTGCTATAGACTACTCTGTTTCAACTCCTTATCTCCCTAACTCTGCCTCCTGAGGGCTGTCATTATATATAGATTTATGACCATGCATGCCAAGAATGATGGTTTATTTGATGGATATTATAAAGGGGTGTGATTTAGAGAAAACTCTGTTCCTAGGCTAAGCTGGAAGTCTTGTTGAAGTATGTCCTAGAAAAAAAATGGTAACATAAGCATACTCTTGCATTCATCTATGCTTTGGAGACTGAATATGTTGGAGTAGCAACTATTTGAGTTCTAAGTGGGGCACTGCCATCTTCACGGCCCCTTCCATTTCTAGTCTCTGTTAGGTCTAACTACTATTTGCTTTGGATGAATTTGTTTTGTTTTCCTTCTTCAGTGTAGTGTTCTTCAAAGTCTGAAAGACTTACTGCAGAATTGGCTGTTGTGGCTCTCTACAGATGCCCATGTGCAACCCACGACAGATAGTCCACTGTGAGTTAATCCTGTGGCTGTCCACAGAAATGTTCTACATATAAATGTTTGCATATGGAATCTAATATGGCATGTGACATAATTATTTTATGTAAATGCTTAGAAGTTTTTTTGGAAATGTTTTAGTTACTCTTCACATTTCATTCCCATAATCCTGAAAGAAAAGCCAGTTTTCCAAGTTACTATTTAGATAAACCAGAAAGCAACCCTTCTGAGTTACTTGGCACTAGGTAATATAGCAAAAAAGGAATATTGAACTTATACTGCAGCTTTGACTTCTATTTAAATTACTTTATATAATGCATTTTATATGTTGACTCAATTTTAATGGTGGATTTTGTTTCTGAGGTGTATTTTGGTTACACACGTTAATTTATCAGGGCTTTGGAGTTAAAAATGAATTTGAATTTCCATTAAATGTATGCTTTCAAGGGATTACATAATCAGGTTATTTGATTCTTTCTGTCTTTTTGGATTCTCTTATATTCTGCCAGCTACATTATTCATTAATGCTTTTAAAATCTCATATTATAGAAAATTGTAAGCATAATCAAAATTGTGGTAAGAGAGACCATCACTGAAGAGAAGTGGAAAGATTCTAAAAGCTGTGTAACTTTAATTTTTTTAACCCTTATTTTTAATGATGGTTTTTAAACGCTTTAACCTCCCTTTTAGCCTACCATCCACTAAAGGTAGTAGAAAAGAAAGGATATGGGGGAAATGGACCTGTTTAGAAAGGTTCTTTGGAGCAGCTCCTGTTTGTGTTGTCTGGAAATTGACAATTTCATTTATAGGTTAGTAGCAAAGGCAGCTCAATTCACTGACAAACACTTAACGGAGTCCAGCAGTCCAGTTTGGTAGAGTTGGGATAGCAAACAGGAATCAGCATTGGTGGCACTACCTAGCAGAGACAGCCAGGCCTCAGCCTTGGCACTAGTCAGCACGAGAGACCAGACCCTGAGGAACACCAGGAAAAGTTTTCTGCTGTGTCTCTCTCAGGAAGACAAAGATCAGTGAAGATGTGAGACTCATAAGCTTTTTATAACTAGCTCTGTAAGTAGCATAGCTTGGCCTCAGTCAGTGTCCCTTGAGTCCTATTTATACTCTCTAAACATCATGTGTCCTCCATGGGTCTTGCCTTAGCATGTGTCTTACCTTAGCGCGTGTTTTGTCTTAGCATGTGTCTTAGTACTGTGCAACTGTCTTGGTTGACATCACTCTGCCAATCAGCCCAAGTCCATGGAAGCTGCAAGAAACTGCAGCACACCACCACAAGTTTTTTGTGTGTTTCTCTCTATGGAGTCCCAACAAATGTTGCTGAACTATACAATGTAAGGTGGACCAATATATGTGTGTTGTTAGTAAACAATCTTTCATCACTTGTCCTTTCATGTGTTCATTTTAGCAAAAATCCTCTCTCCTGTGTCTGTTTCAGTGAAATGTTCATTCATGAGTCTGCCTTACTCTTTGACCTATATCTGCTTTAACAAAACATTCTTTCACATGTTTGCCCCAACAAAACACCATACAACTGACTTTCCAAAGAACCCTTAAGTTTCCACTTCAGGTCTGAGTGGGCTGGAATGAAGCAGTGTCTTCTGGCCATCACAGGACCCCTGTACTCATGCACTACATAAGACCTGCATAAGAGCAAGCTGGTCAATATGCTACTGGTCCAGAAGACTCCACCCCTGAGTAGCTAAGGATCCTTTATAGCTTCTGGGATAAACTCAGTTTCCTTCAGGTAGGCTGTCTATGCTTCAATGAATAACCCTCAGAAACGCATGGATAGCACAAATTTGGACTTGATGGCTTATTAAATTAGAAAAAAGAACATAAAGTTGAGGGGGCATAGGGAGGTAGGAGGAGTTAAAGGGAAGAGTTGAAGTGAATATAATCAAAATATATTGTATAAAACTCCCATGGAATAAAAAAATACTTTTAAAATTATGAATAGACAATAAAAATAATTCCAAAGATAGAAACACACACAAACAGGACAATGTTACCAACCCCTAGTATATTACTTTTTTGTTGCAACAACAAAAGTACCTGGCAAAAGGCAAGGAAGGAAGGAAGAAAGGGTTTATTTTGGCTCACAGTTGAGAGTGTGTAGTCCATTCTGGTGGGGAAGGGATGGTTACAGGACCATGAGGCAGCTGTTCATGTTTTATTGACATTCAGGAAACAGAAGAAGTCATGCTTGTGCTCAGGACTTCAACCTATGGAATAGTACCACCTACGTTTAGGATGAGTCTTCCTACACGTCAGTTAACCTAATCTAACTGATCTCTCACAGATATGACTAGAGGTTGGTTTCCATGCTGGTTCTAGATCCTGTCAAGTTAAGAGTCAAGATTAACCACTACACTTAAGTATTTGTCATCCAGTTTCAATAGTTACTGACTCAATTGCTTTTCTTTTTAAGAACTTTTATTTTTATTGGTATTTAGTAAATGTATATGTATGATGTGTACAGGTGAGTGCAGGTGCTCTTGGAGGCCAAAGTGTTGAATCCCCTGGAGTTAAAGTTTACTGATGATTGTGAGCCACCCACTGGAATCGAACTTAGAATCCTTGTAAAAGCAGTACATTCTCTCAACTGTTGAACCATCTCTCTAGCCCCAAACTGCTCTTCACTGTTTACTCTTCTCCTTGGATTATTCCTTTTTTTATTTCTAGTGGATATTTTATTTATTTACATTTCAGATGTTATCCCATTTCCCTCCTCAGAACCTCCTATCCCATCCCCTGTCCTCCTTTATGCTTTTATACCACTTTGATTACATGCATGTATTAAGGTCAGTTCTAGGTTGAGGGTCTAGCAATACAATAGATGCAAATAGTCAAGTAACAAGCAAGACAATAAACACAAATAGTCAAAGAACAAGCAAGGCATTAAACCCAACTACATGAACACTCCCATGATCAGTGTTTCTTTCTTTCTTTTTAATTTTTTTTGGTTTTTTGAGACAGGGTTTCTCTGTGTAGCCCTGGCTGTCCTGGAACTCACTCTGTAGACCAGGCTGGCCTCAAACTCAGAAATCTACCTGCCTCTGCCTCCCAAGTGCTGGGATTAAAGGTGTGCGCCACCACCGCCCGGCTCATGATCACTGTTTCTAAGGGCTTATCAGGATGACCAAAGTATCTGAGCCTACTTCCCTCTCCTAGCCCAAAGTGATTTTCATGTCTGAAGTCTCCTTCCTTGTTCTAGCCTAAGATTTAGATTCCTGTCTGAAATTACTTTTTTGTTCTAGCCTAATATTTACATTCCTGCCTGAGATTACTTCTTTGTTCTACCCTAAGATTTAGATTCCTGCCTGAAGTTATTTCTTTGTTCTAGCCTGATGTCAGATTCTTGCCTGAAGCTTACTTCCTTGTCCTTGGCCAATGTTATATTCCAGCCAAGCAGCCCATTTCCTTGTCCTTGGCCCATCTCAGACTCTTGCCAGGCAGCCCCAAAGGCTCTCTGCCTCTTCCCCTTTTTTATTTCATTAACAAGACTGAGCCTGTCTTGGGTCATTCTAACAAGAATGCCTTCCTTACCGGTCATGGAATATGCATTATCCAAAGCAATGCACTTCTGTGAATAATTCCTAGGAAACATAGATATCATCTCAGCTGTTAAAATGTACCATTATGATACCCAAAGTTAACAGTTTCTAAAATTTTGTAGTGCTTATTATTAGTCTGGCAGTGTGTTTATACATGTTACATGTACATATACACATGATGCCATGGTGTGTGGGAGTGTCCGAGGACAAAGCTGGGGAATTGAGTTTCTCCTTTCAACTGTCCATGGGTTCTGGGGATTGAATTCATGATATCAGGCTTGCATGACAAATGCTTTACCCTCCTAGCCATCTCTTCAGTCCCATATATATCATTTTCATTTTATTTCATTTTTCGAGACAGGGTACATGTATCTCTAGTGGCCCTCAACCTTAGCATTTGAACTCTTGACCTTCCTTAAGTACCTTCCAAGTGCTAAAATTGAGTTGCTCTTAATGGTTCCTTAGAAGACAAGAGTACTGGGCCTTGGTGGTGCATGCCTTTAATCCCAGCTCTTGGTAGGCAGAAGCTGGCAGATCTGTTGAGTTCTGCATTGTAGTAGTGAGTTCCAGGTTAGCCAGAGCTATATAGTGAGGCCATATCTCAAAAAAGAAGAGGAAGAGGAGGAGGAGGAAGACGAGGAAGATAACAACTACCACTAAGAGTAATACTATGGTTAATCACTGTGCCTTTATTTTTTAAAAAAATGTAAATTGTACATTGAAGAACTTAGAGTTTTTGAATTCCTTGCCCATCTATTGCTTTATATTGCCTATCTTTAACTTGAAAGCTGAGCACTTTTACTGGTATATATCTAAGTATTATGATTTCTTATTGCAGAGAGACAACTTTGGGTGGATCCATGAGTTCTGTGTCTGAATTAATTGAGTACATTGGCTGGCTGTCCATGGTAGCAGTGCGCTTGGAGAGCAGCAGTACATTACTGTTGCACTTTATTTTGGACTTCTATGAGAAGGTAGTACACAAATCATATATTTATAACAGCTAGTCACCTCATTAGCCTATGATTTAGATTTCATGTATAATCAGTAAAGTATGTTATGATCTTACTAAGTAGTTAAAATAACCATATTTTGAAATTAAAGGTTTATTTTTACCTTAGTAACTGACTTTAATATAGCAAGTGTTATTTCATCTGAACAACTGACTTTGATAGAATGAGTATAGAAGAAAATTTGGTTGTTTTTAGTTCAGATACCACAGTAATATATATTGACCTTATAAACAAGCTGGTTCTGGATCTGTGTCTAGCATCATGTTTTTGTTCATCTATGTTTATTTCTGTCCCTTGGCATAAGAAAAGAAAATGTTATCTTGCTTCTTCAGATTTGTACTTCTGACTTGCAACTGCTTGATTTTTTTTCTGGTACCTAATAATTTTATAATTTTAGGTTTTTTATTGTTTTGTAGGATTAACATCGACAAAACTATCACCACCGCTAAGTGCCCATTATATTCTTCCTCTCCCCAGTTCTCTATTTTCGTTCATTAATATCTTTTTGGTTTTTCTTTCTTTTTGAGGTAGGTCTCACGTAGCCTAGGGTGGCCACAAATTTAATGTATAGCTAAGTGTCTTAGGGTTTCTATTGCTATAATAAAACACCACAACCAAAAAGAACTTGAGGAGCAAGGGTTTATTTCAGCTTACATGTCCTAATTACAGTCCATCATGAAGGGAATTTAGGGCAGGCAGTTAAAGGGAGGAACTGAAGCAAAGACCGTGGAGGATCAGTGCTTACTGGCTTGCTCCTCAGGACTTGCCCAGCCTGCTTTTTTATAGCATCCAAGACCACTGTGTCACCCCCCCCCCCACAGGGAGCTGGGTCCTCCCACATTGATCAAGAACACTATCCACAGGGTTGCCAGTTTGGTGGAGCTCTTTTCTCATTTGAGGTTTGCTATTCTCAAATAATTCTAGCCTATATCATGTTGATGTAAAACTAGCCAGCACACAGGATCATCTGATCCTCTCACCTGCTATACCAGGATTAAAGGCTTACATCACCACTCCTAGCTTATATGGTGCTGCGTATTGAAACCAGGGCCTTTTTTGTGCTAGGCAAACATTCTGCCTACTGACAACGAATCTCCAGCCTTTATTTCATATTTGCCTAGAAGAATATGTTCCTTTGTTTTTCAGGTTGCCAGTTAATTGATTATGACAAATAAATATTGGAGAAACTTGGGGAGAAAAAAATGCTTCCTTATTCTAACATCTTTTTTTCCAGTGCTAAGATGAATTTTAAAGATTTATTTTTATTTTATTTGTATGGGTGTTCTGCCTGCACTACCATCTGTACATTATATGAATACTTGCTGCCACAGAGGCAAGAAGAAGATCCCATGGAACTGGAATTATAGATAATTGTAAGCCACCATGTGGGTGCTGAGTCGTTCTGGAAGACCAGACAGTGCTCTTAACCACTGAGCCATCTCCCCAGTCCCATAATAAAAATAGTATTTTTTGAGGCAGAATCTCACTGTATAGCCTTGGCTGACCTTAAACTCATAGAGAACTACCTGCCTCTGCTTCCTAAGTGCTGGGATTAAAGGCGTACACCACTTGGCCTACCAAATGAAATATTTTAATAATGGTCTTAGAAATAATTTTGAGTTAAGGTTGGTGTTTGATGAGATGGATTTTGTTTTATTTTTTTAATTGAATATTTTATTTACATTTCAGATGTTATCTCCTTACCCCATTTCTTCCTCAGTTTCTGTTGTTATGTCTCCCTTTTCAGTTCTGATTTATTAATCTTGATACTGTCTCTGTGCCCTCTGGTTAATCTGGATAAGGGTTTATCTATCTTGTTGATTTTCTCAAAGAACCAGCTCCTGGTTTTGTTGATATTTTGTATAGTTCTTTCTGTTTCTACTTGGTTGATTTCAGCCCTGAGTTTGATTATTTCCTGTTGTCTACTCTTCTTGGGTGTATTTGCTTCTTTTTGTTCTAGAACTTTTAGGTGTGCTGTCAAGTTATTAATGTATACCCTCTCCAGTTTCTTTTTGTAGGCACTTAGAACTATGAGTTTTCCTCTTAGCATTGCTTTCATGGAGTCCCACAAGTTTTGGTATGATGTGTCCTCATTTTCATTAAATTCTAAAAAAGTCTTTAATTTCTTTCTTTATTTCTTCCTTGAACAACATTGAGTAGAGCGTTGTTCAGTTTCCATGTGCATGTGAGTTTTCCATTGGTTTTGTCATTATTAAAGACCAGACTTAGTCTGTGGTGATCTGATAGGATGCAAGGGATTATTTCAATATTTTGTACCTGTAGAGGCCTGTTTTATGACCAATTATATGCTCTATTTTGGAGAAGGTACCATGAGGTGCTGAAAAAAGGTATATTCTTTCGTTTTAGGACAAAATGTTCTATAGATGTCTGTTAAGTCCATTTGGTTCATAACTTCTGTTAATGTCATAGTGTCTCGGTTTAGTTTCTGTTTCCATGATCTGTCCATTGCTGAGAGTGGGGTGTTGAAATCCCCCACTATTATTGTGTGAGGTGTAATGTGTGTTTTGAGCTTTAGTAAAGTTTCTTTTATGTATGTAGGTGCCCTTGCATTTGGAGCATAGATGTTCAGAATTGAGAGTTCATCTTGGTATATTTTTCCGTTGATGAGTATGAAGTGTCCTTCCTTATCTTTTTTGATTAATTTTGGTTGAAAGTCATTTTATTTGATATTAGAATGGCTACTCCAGCTTGTTTCTTGGGACCATTGGCTTGGAAAATTGTTGTCTATCCTTTTATTCTGAGGTAGTATCTGTCTGTGCCCTCTGGTTAATCTGGCTAAGGGTTTATCTATCTTGTTGATTTTCTCAAAGAACCAGCTCCTGGTTTTGTTGATATTTTGTATAGTCACTGAGGTGCATTTCCTGTATACAGCAAAATTCTGGGTCCTGTTTATGTATCCAGTCTGATAGTCTACATCTTTTTATTGGAGAATTGAGTCCATTGATGTTAAGAGATATTAAGGAAAAATAATTTTGGCTTCCTGTTATTTTTGTTATTAGAGGTGGAATTATGTTTGTGTAGCTATCTTCTTTTGGGGTTGTTGGAAGATTACTTCCTTGCTTTTTCTAGGTTGTAGTTTCCTTCCTTGTGTTGGTGTTTTCCATCAATTATCCTTTGAAGTTCTGGGTTTATGGGAAGATATTGTGTAAATTTGGCTTTGTCATGGAATATCTTGGTTTCTCCATCTATGGTAATTGAGAGTTTAGCTGGGTGTAGTAGTCTGGGCTGGCATTTGTGTTCTCTTAGGGTCTGTATGTCAGTCCAGGCTCTTCTGGCTTTTATAGTCTCTGGTGAGAAGTCTGGTGTAATTCTTACAGGTCTGCCTTTATATGTTACTTGACCTTTTTCCCTTACTGCTTTTAATATTTTTCTTTGTTTTGTGCATTTGATGTTTTGATTATTATGTGACAGGAAGTATTTCTTTTTTGGTCTAGTCTATTTGGTTTTCTGTAGGCTTCTTATATGTTTATGGGCATCTTGTTCTTTAGGTTAGGGAAGTTTTCTTCTATAATTTTGTTGAAGATATTTACTGGCCCTTTAAGTTGGCAATTTTCACTCTCATCTATACCTATTATCCTTAGGTTTGGTCTTCTCTTTGTGTCCTGGATTTCCTTGATGTTTTGGATTAGGAGCTTTTTGCATTTTGCATTTTCTTTGACAGTTATGTCAATGTTTTCCATGGTATCTTCTGCACATGAGATTCTCTCTTCTATCTCTTGTATTCTGTTGGTGATGCTTTCGTCTATGACTCCTGATCTCCTTCCTTGGTTTTCTATCTCCAGGGTAGTCTTGCTTTGAGATTTCTTTATTGTTTCTATTTCCATTTTTAGATCCTGGATGGTTTTGTTTAATTCCTTCATTGTGTTTTCTTGCAGTTCTTTAAGGGATTTTTGTGTTTCTTCTTTAAGGGCTTCTACCTGTGTTCTCCTGTACTTCTAAGGGAGTTACCTATGTCCTTCTTAAAATCTTCTATCATCATGAGAAGTGATTTTAATTCTGAATCCTGCTTTTCTGGTGTGGTGGGGTGTCCATGGCTTGCTATGGTGGGAGAACTGGGCACTGATGATGCCAAGAAACTTTGGTTTCCGTTGCTTATGTTCTTGCGCTTGCCTTTCGCCATCTGGTTAACTCTAGTGTTACCTGCCCTCACTGTGTCTGACTGGAGTCTCTCTTTCCAGTTATCTTGCTTGTGTCAGAACTCCTCAGAGTCCAAATGTCTCTGTGATCTTGTGATCCTAACCTCCAGGAAAAACTCCTGGGACTCAGGCCACCTCTGGGATCCTGAAATCCTGCTCCTCTGAGTACAGTGGTTCCTCTAGGATGGTTCAGGATATGGTGTCTTCACAGGAGCAGACCAGCTAGCTGTCTGCCCTAGCCAAAAGGACCAGGCAAGAGGGATGAGATGTATTTTAAACAGACAAATAGCAACCCTTTTTATTTAGGAATTAGATAGGTTCAAATGTAGTGATATATTATTGTTTATCTTATAGTGACAATTCTTTAAGTAAACCTTATTGATTAATGGACAATAATCTATGTATTAATATTCTTTCCAAAAGGTGTGTGACATATATATTAATTATGACCTTCCACTGGTAGTGTTGTTTCCTCCTGTGATCTTCCATTCTGCACTCCTAAGTCTGGATGCCACTATCTTGAACCAACTCTGCTACATTATGTACAGGTATAAGCCCCCATCTCCCTTTAAATGAGTTTATGAATTACTACTCCATAATTTTCTCTTCAGCATTTAACTATAATAAAATTCCTATCAATTTTCTGCCAGGGTTTTTGGAAATAGGTAACATGGCTTTTGGGATATATGATTTTGTAATATAAGGCTATGAAAGCTATGTTATTATTTTTATTATTTTGAACCATACTCATTGTACATAGTGTTGGTTTTTCTAAAGACATGTTCATTGGAGAGCATCATGCTCCCTGGTTAGATTTGCTCCTGCATGCCTTTTCTGTTTTACCCCTTCTCGCTAGTCTACTTCCATTTTCCAGTATTGCTTCTGTTTTATCATATGTATGTATAAATGATATTTTCTTTCCATATAAAATATTGGATCCACAAATGAGTGAAAACATATTATTTCTCTTCCTGACTCTGCCATATTTAACTTTATAAGTGATTTCAAGGTGTGTTATGGAGGTAGACTAAGACACTAAAACTGTAGCTGTGCTGTTTTTCAGTTCCCCTGTAGGGCATATGGAATTAAAAGTCTTTGTTATGGATTGGTTTGTTTTGTAATTGCGCTGTTGCACTCAGCTTTGTTAATTAAAGTTTTCATGTTAAAGAAAAATTAATCACTTGTTGATAACTGTGGAAGTGTATGTAGTTTTTCTGGTAAAAAAGAACGTTTTCAGGGAGGCAAGAGGACTAACTTATTTCCAGCCTTGTGACCCTCCAGGCTTTATTTCTGGCCTTTTCCTCTTTGTAGAGCTTTGTCAATGTTAAATATGTAGAAATGATTTATTTAGACAGCAGTTCTCAGATAAGACAAGGATTATGTTTCTAGATTTTATTGTATGTTCTGCTGTACCTTTAAACTAAACGTTTTGACATTTATTTGTTTTGTTTTGTGTGTGTGTGTGTGTGTGTGTGTGTGTGTGTGTGTGACAATACGTGTGGAAGTCAAAGGACAACTTTCAAGAGTCTGTTTTCTGTTTTCTTCTTCCACCCTGTGAGGTCCAGGGATCAAGGTCAGGTTAATCAAGCTGAGTGTTAAGAGTTTTTGCCTGCTCAGTCATCTCACTGGCTTACTGTACCTTATTTTATGGAAAGAAAATGTGTTCTGTATCAGTGATTGGCTGCTTTCTTTAATAATGAAACACTAAAAGAATGTCTTCAATTGTTTGTTTTCTTTCTATTGAATTATATTTACAGTAAGAGCACGTCTGAAACGTCTGACTCCGTTTTTAAAAGTTTATCGTTATTGTGTCTGTCTGTATGCGGCTGTGCATGTACACAGTTTGTATCTGGAGAGCCAAGACCAACTTTGCCCAGTCAGTTCTTTCCTTATACTAGTACATGGGTTCTGCATACCAAACTCAGATCATCAGAGTTCATGGCAAGCACTTTATTCACCAAGCTGTCTTGTCAGCCTCCAACTCAGTTTTGAGCCTCTTTTTATTTATTTTTTGCAGTACTCGAAGTTGAACTCAGGGCCTCATGCATGCCACACACATGGTCTGAAGCTGAATTCCACTTGTAAACCCTAAGTTTAAAAATTCTTTATAGAAAATGTACCACAGAAGTGTAAAATCTTTAACTAGACAACTAGATATTTGTGTTTTTTTTCAATTGCATTTGTTTACAATGTGTGTGTGTGTGTGTGTGTGTGCGTGTGCGTGTGCACGCGCGCGCGCATGATTGTGTATGTACACTTGCATGCATATTCACGTGGAGGTCAGAGGTGACTGTCGGGTGTCTTCCACTGTTGCTTTGCACTTTATCTCTAAGTGAGCTAGGAGCTCACTGACTCCCTGCACCAGCTAGATGGTGAGCTCCAGAGATCTACAGTGCTAGTGTTAGGGATATGTGCAAGCAAACCTGGTTTCTATGCGGGTGTTAGAGAGCTAAATGCAGGGAGTTGTACTTCTATGACAGGGATTTTACCAATGGAACTAAAATGTACATTTTTAAAGAATTGACTTTACATTCAGAAGTATTCCATCCAACAGCATTTTGAATGTGTTATTATGTTTGTTTTTATTATTAGGTATCGTGAAAATTTAACAGCTGCCAAAAAAAGGAACTCTTTGCAGAAGGTATGAAGGATAAACCAGTGTTAAATGACCATTTTTGTAAATATTTAAGTATAGATATGTGGAACTTGTTAAGAATAAAGTGGACAAGCATAATAGATGTTCATGGCTATTTTATCTTTTCCATCAGGCAAAATCAGAGTTCAATCTCAGCAGCAAGGTCTGCAAAGAATTTAATTACTATTTGACAACTATGGTTTGTTGCCTATGGATGTCCAGACCATTTGAAAAAGGAGTATACATTGATCCCCAAATCATAGAAAATACTGGAGAAGCAGAGTATAAAAACACCTTAAATTTTGTCTACCATCCTTCTCTATTGAGCTATGCAGCTTCCTTTTTGCTACAGGTAAGTGTATTTAAAGAGCCTTTAGATTTCATGTGGTAACACTGACTGAAAATAGGAAATGTTATATCTGAGTTGCAAGGCATGTTCAGATTTTTTAGTGCTAACAAAAATTGGTAGTGATACCAGGCTTTAAGGAACTTAAATATCTATTCTCTAAGAGAGCTTGACCCTGTTATCGAGACAGACTTGTTAACAAAGTATTATAACGTAATGAGGTGGTATGAGGGAAGGACCAACGTAAGAATGTTCCATGTTCAGTTCTGCTTCAGTTGTCGTGGTAAGGAAGGCCTTCACAGAATAAAAGCTCCTCTGGATCCCTCCTAAGGCAGAAAGTGTAAGCTAGGCAACGTTTTTCTATTCCTCCTTGAAGCTTGTTGATTTAATGTGGTGAAAATAAGTGGATGTGGCTAGGTATGTATGTCTTCTTAGATAATTGGCAAGACTACCATTTTCAATCTTATTAGGGACTTGGGGATTATTTATGATGTGTATATATTAAATGATACAATGTTATTACAGATATGCGAGAAGAATTTGGATTGACAAGTTACTTAACCAGATAGAACATTGAGAACCCTAACAATGAAAACAGTACAGAGTTAGGGCAATGGTCTTTGACTAGATGTCTCAAATACACATGTGATGAGCAAGATCCTTCTGTGTAGTTGGGGAGACTGTCAGTAAACAACTTAGCATAAATAAGGATGTTCATGGCTGAGGCAGGAAGATCAAGAGTTTCAAGCTGGTTTGACTCAAAACCAAAGCCCCAAGCAAAAGCAAACACCAAAACAGGCATGGTAGTGCACACAGGAAACTGAGGTTAGGGTTGTAAGTTCGTGACTAGCCTGGGACACACAGTGAGATGTTGTCTCAGAAATGAAGGAAAAAAGGGAGGGAGGAAGGGAGGAGGAAGGAAAGGAGAGAAGAAAAGAAGGAAGGAAAATAAATGTAAAGAAGTACAAAAAGACAATGTGAAGATTCCATTTTTCCACATATTTCCCAGTGTTTGTTATTTATATTTTTATTTTTTATTAAGGGTATCAGATAATATTGAATTGTGATATTGATTTGCATTGCCATTGTAACTGGATTTTTCTATTTTTTATATTCATTGGCCACTTTTCTATTTTCTTTGTAAAAACTATTCAGACCTTTTATTCTGAGAGTGTGTGTGTATGTGTGTGTGTGTGTGTGTGTGTGTGTGTGTGTGAGAGAGAGAGAGAGAGAGAGAGAGAGAGAGAGAAATCTTAATCTTATGTAACTCTGGCTGGCTTGTTTTGTTTAATATGATCTCTAATTCCATCTATTTTCTTACAAATGATATAATTTCACTTTTTATAGATGAGTTAAACTCTAGTGTCTACTGCTTCCTTCCCTAGAAAAATCCCCGAGCCACTGTATTAGCCATGATGTAAGGTAGAAGCTTCTAGTCTTTGGTATACTCCAGCCAGCGTGGAATCTGTGCCTAATGAACATGCTGGGACAAAGATGAACATTCTGGTATTCTTGGGTGGTTGATTGAGGCTGGAATGTAGCCTTTTTGCTTTGCATGATGTCTTGGAGGAAGAGAGCCTTGAACCCATAGCCATATTCTCCAGGAAGGAGCAGGTTATGGTTCCAGTGTCTCAGACATTTGCTGGTCTAATTGAAGTTTAATAGAAATTCTTTGGTTAATTTTTTGTTAGTTTTTACCTTCTTTGCTTGTTTGCTTTGAGGCAGACACATCAGAATAAATGTTGAGATGTCTCAAAACAAACTAAAACATTGAGTATCACTATATGGGTCAAATTCTATGCCTTTGCTTAATAACATTGATCTTAGATAAGCTTTTTTAAAAAGGTTTTGGCCTTCGATTACCTTATGGAGATTTTGTTGTATTTTGTGTTTGAGACAGGTTTTCCTTGAATAGCCTGGTCTAGTCTTAAACTCTCAACTTTCCTCAGTCTCCTGAGTTCTGGAATTAAGGAGAAGTACTGCCATACCCAGTTCCCCTTATCTGCTAAATAAGAATGATAATATATAATTAATTGTATTGTAAATAGTATATTTCATGATGTATGCGAATCTCGGTATGCTTGGCACAGAGTGGTTGCTTGGGGAGTGGTAGTTATTATATATTGATTAATTTGCATCATAATTGAATATTTTGAGGGTTTTTCTTTGGTAGCCATTGTTTAGTACTTGAAAGCAATAAATAGTTCAAGGCCAAGGCTAACTCCCTCCTCAACAGGGTTTGCAATGTCTGGAGGCAATTTTGGTTTTCACCAATTGGAGAGTAGGAATGCTGACATCTAGTGGCTACAACCAGAGATGCTGGTAAACGTTTTGGTATACAGGATATTCTCTCAAGACAATTTTCTGGTCCCTATTTTAAAATGTTTTCATATTTGATCTATCTCCAACATGGTTTTGTTTACCATTAGTGTATGAAAGGCTGTTTTATTATTTTTTTGTGTTCGCCACTATATGAATTTAATTCCTTATTAATGATTTGCTTATAATTTTATTAAGATATACTCTTGTATACAACACTTCACATATACAAAATATTCTGTTGGATAAAGCCACTACAAGTGGAATTGCTCTCAAAGGTACATTTTCTAAAGATTTGTGGGTATTGTTAACTTGCTTTTAAGAAGACGTTACGTTGTCTTGTATTTTCTCTAACAGTGAATGGATGCTCATCTCTCCATACTCTCAATACAATTGCAGCTTCTCTAAGTCTTAATTGGAAAAGTATGTACTGAATCAGGTAAAATGGATTCTTTCCTTGAGAGACAGAGCATGAATGAGAGACACTAAGACCAATCTGCAGAGTAGTGAATATTATGAACTTGAACACAAGTAAACAAATTTAAAGGGTTAGTAATTCATATTGCTTTAAGTCAGAATGTGATTTTCAAAATGCGCAGTGAAGTTTCATTCCAGAAGGTAAAAATTTAGCATCATAGAGAGTACATTTGGCAAAACATGAAACCACCATTTTTGTTGGTTCCTGATACTGTTTCTATATAGTTCAGCAAACGGATTTAAAAGTAATACAGTAAGCTGGGCACAGTGGTTCACACTTATAACCCTGGCACTTAGAAGCTGAGATCAGATGACTGTGGATTCAAGGGTAGCCTGGACTACATTGCTAAGGTTAAGAACAATCTGGGCTATAAAGTAAGACCATGTGCCACAAACAAAACAAAAGTTAAAGGAAATTACATTCATATCCCCCCACTCTTTTAAAGAAAGGATCTCACTTTGTAGCCCAGGCTGGCATGGAACTTGAGGCAATTCTCTTACCTCAGTTTCTCACGTGGTGGGATCATAGGTATGAACCACCATATATGACATTTGTCTGTCGTTTTGAAGAGTATCTTGAGCCCCAGTCACCAACTAACTCACAACTATCTGAATACTGTATGGTTCATGTGTTGCTTATAACCTCTGATACAATGGTGTGTGATTTATTCTAAAATTTTACCTTATTGATGTGTTTAGTTGTATAAGTTTCAGATCAGTGATAGTTGTATAAGTTTCAGGTCAGATTCTCAGTATTAATAAACTTAGCCCTTGGAAGTATTTTTTATTTTAAAACCTTACATCTATTCCTGTGTGTGGAGGGGCGTTGATGAAGTAGAGCTCACATATGTATGATATTCGTGTGGCAGTCAGAGAACAAATTGTAGTGGTCATTTCTCTCCGTTGATCCTGAGGGCTCTAGGAATTGAACAGAGGTCATCAGGCTTAGCAGGAAGCACTCTTACTCATTAAGGTATCTTGCTGGCCTTCTTGGATATATTTTAAATGTATATAGAACCTACATAAAAGAATTCTTTTTTGTTGCTTTGGAGACAGGATTTTTAAAACGTCTGAAAAGACATAGACGACCATCTGTCTTACAGGTCTGTTCAAGAATGCAATAGGAGACAGTGGGGAGATTTTCCAGGAGAGTCATAGTCCAGTAAGTCAGCATCTACTAGTGATGTCTGCTTTCTTTGTGGAGGATAGCTTTTATAAGAGGAAGTCTGAGTGGAAGTAGGAATGGGGACCGAGGCGTTGCTGTAGTCTACATGAGCTCCTGAGGATGAATTTTGTATGGGTGGTTCCGATGGAGACTAATAGAACTGGACTGCTTTGATCTGTGCTTAGTGCAGGCAGGACTGCTGAAGATACTGTGATTGAAGGTAGGACTGAGCAAAGGACTTCTGTTTGGGTTGATATGATTCCAAGTATTACTAAGGGGAATTCTAATGAAAGAACTGAAGGTATTACCTTGTTTATGAAGGAGGGCAAGTTGAAGCTGTGTTTTGATCTATTTAAGTTTTGGGTGACTATAGACACTCAGGACCAAAATGTTAAGAAGACAATTTGAAATAGTGGCTTGGAGCACAAGAAGAAAGGTTGGACTTTAGAGAAATAAAGTATGGAGTTAGTCAGCATGCTCTGTATCTCCTCATTTCCTAAACCTCATTTGGTCAATCCCGTGTATATCAGAAATCAGGATATAGCTTGTGATCATTTGCAGTTCGGTACCAACCACAAAGTTTTTGTTCTTTGTTGTTTGAGAGTGCAGAAGCAGGTTGCCTTCAGACTTACTAAATTGCAGTAGCTTGGCAAAAATTTTCTGGAGATACTGTTTTAATCCTCCAGAAACAAAATGGAGAAGATGAGAAACGGAAAAAAAAAAAAAACATTCCAAACTTGCCTGAAGCAGGAGCCAAAAATCTGTTTGATCCTTGATATTGGTAGGCTCTAGGAAACCTCTGCAGGTAGCAAGGTCTGTAGATGCTGAAGTCTCATCATCAAGTGACGTAGTATTTGCATATAACCTATGCACCTCCTCTTGTAGGCACTTCTTCTAGGCTCCTGATAAAATTCAAATAACTATCTTAAGTTGGACCATCATTAAGTTGGAAACTCTCTTTAAGTCATCTCTGAAATGCTTATCCAATACAGTATTTATTATAATTACTTAACTAACCATTCCTTAATTACTTGAATAAGTATCC